GAATCAAATCCCGCAGTGCCAGACGTGTTCCGCTGCTGAAGCCAGTGCATGTCCAGGCCCGTCTGAAGTTTGCCAGAGAGCACATGGATGATACAGCAGAGGATTGGGAGAATGTCATGTGGTCAGATGAAACCAAAGTAGAACTTTTTGGTATAAACTCAACTCGTCGTGTTTGGAGGACGAAGAATACTGAGTTGCATCCCAAGAACACCATACCTACTGTGAAGCATGGGGGTGGAAACATCATGCTATGGGGCTGTTTTTCTGCCAAGGGGACAGGATGACTGATTCGTGTTAAGGACAGAATGAATGGGGGCATGTATCGTGAGATTTTGAGCCAAAACCTCCTTCCATCAGTGAGAACTTTGAAGATGAAACGAGGCTGGGTCTTCCAACATGACAATGATCCAAAACACACCGCCCGGGCAACAAAGGAGTGGCTCCGTAAGAAGCATTTGAAAGTCCTGGAGTGGCCTAGCCAGTCTCCAGACCTCAACCCCATAGAAAATCGGTGGCGGGAGTTGAAAGTCCGTGTTGCTCGGCGACAGCCCCAAAACATCACTGCTCTCGAGAAGATCTGCATGGAGGAATGGGCCAAAATACCAGCTACTGTGTGTGCAAACCTGGTAAAGACCTATAGTAAATGTTTGACCTCTGTTATTGCCAACAAAGGTTATGTTACAAAGTATTGAGAGTTATTTTTGTTATTGACCAAATACTTATTTTCCACCCTGATTTACGAATAAATTCTTTACAAATCCTACCATGTGAATTCGTGGATTTTTTTTTTCACATTCTGTCTCTCACAGTTGAAGTGTACCTCTGGTGCAAATTACTGACCTCTGTCATCATTTTAAGTGGGGGAACTTGCACAATCGGTGGCTGACTAAATACTTTTTTGCCCCACTGTATGTTTGTTGTAAACCCAACACATACTGACTAACAGACTCTGGATGTTCTCTTATGATCATACTAGTCTGTGACTGTGAGCTTGCATGTGCTTTCAGTTTCTATCTGCTCTGCAGTTCTGTGTGGAGTACAGATGTACTGGGACTGTTTGTCTGTGTTCAACTACCATCAGTAGACTGCAAATATAGTACAAATAAATTCTAAAGAGGCTTCAGTGCCATCTTGTCTTTTGCTTAAAGATTTTAGTTTAATTACATGTTTGAAGACACTGTGGCCGTGCAGGCTACAAGCTGAATGTTCCCGCTTCCCACAGTGCTCATTATGTGAAACGCTGCCCGTATCCGTTCTTTCTTCCATGGTGGTGAAGTGTTCACTTCCTCTGCACAGAGCTTGCGATTTGCTTGCTCCTTTTGTCAGCAGTTTTGGGGAAACCCGACCAAAAGCATCTTTGTGGCACACAGTAAATGATCTGGCTCGCAGATGTTCGGATTGTCCTCGTTAATCTCCTTATGAAGATGCTTTACTGCTTTTTGGTTAAACTCACAGAAAGACAGCGAGACAGCTTCCTCCATACCCGACCCAAGAGAGGATAGATATGAAGACAGAGAAAAACTGGGGCCCACCTTTTGTAGTTCTGTTGTTTTCCTGTTCAGTTTTCACTGATTTGATCCAAGTGACCTCAGAATCGACTGCAGGCAACTCCCCAGCAATTCATTCCAAAGCAAATACGCAGAAAATATTATCTGCCAGTAGTAGGGAAGCTGAAAACAGTGCTCATTTGGGATTAAAGTAATAGATGGAGGACAGAAATATTATACACATTTTATTTATCTCAGTGTCCTCTTTCAGGATCTCCTGCTACAGTTTAATACACCATTGCAGGACTCCCACATTTGCACCTGGATGCTGGTGAGCACAGCCACAGCCTCCCAGTGTTGGGGATCATGATGTATGAATCTGCACATAAGATGGCCAAAGTTTGAAGTCTTCTTCATGCAAGAAGCCTCTCCACAAATTTCGGTATTTCCAGTGTTTTTAGCTGTCCTTTGGAAAAAGATGAATGTGTCCATGGGCTTTGAAAGCAAAGCAGCGATCTGGGATTTGAACAAAGTTGAAAAATTCATTTCTTGTGAGCGAAGAAGACCTTCAGGGAAAAGCGTTTATCAAAACCACAAAAGACAGACATGTGGAACATTATTGCATTGTTTGTGTCTCATTTATCTGGACATATGGAGGAAGACGGTCACATGACATGCTGCTGAGTTACATATATTTTTACCATTTTTAGTCACTTATGTTTTTAATTTCAACATGAATTTGGAGCATTTCTTATATTTGAAGCAGTTTGGCCTGATCTCCCGTGAATTGTTTCCATACAGCTAAACCTGATTCTGAATTATGTTTCACAAAAACGTAGCTAGCAGTTAAAAAGACGGATGATGTCTGCTTAGGTGGTGAAGGATATCACAAGCTTCTCACAGAGGACGCTAAGGTTCAGTTCTGGTGCAAAATCACAATTTCTTCCAAGCCAAGATCTTTTTTTTGGGTCTCCTGCTCGACGAGTGTTACCCCAAATAAAATGTACATAATTATGTTTTTAAAAGAACGATCGGTATGAAAGATATTACAAGCCATTTTTATAAAATCACAGCAAAGCATGTAATAGAAACACCAGTCCATGGTGTCAGTTTCACACTTTGCCTCTCCAAAGCTTCAAATAGACATGTTTCAGTTGTGGTACCAGCAGGGGGAGATAATATATTCAAAGCAGTCACCGAGGAAGACGTGATGTATAGTGATGTACCAAGTACCACTGATTTCCTTTCCAATCTGATACCAAGTAAAATTCAGGGTGGTATCAACAATACTGCTCCAATACCGATACTTTGTACAAAACCTTAATGTGTTATTGTATTTCAAATTACAGCTTCAGAATGATTACAGGACATCAGACTACTTGTTCGTACTGTTTAATATTGAAGAATTATCATATAGAAATAAAAAACCTGAATTGTTAATTGACGCTGTTTGAACACGTATATCTTGTCATTTAACATGCATATATTTGCCTGGACATTTCAACAAAAACATTCAACATTCACACTTACCCTCATTCACAGTAGTGCTGTGCCACACTACAAATTTTAGTATTGATCCAATACCAAGTAAATACAGGGCCACTATTGCTGATATCAGTACCAATAATTTTAAGTTATTCAGGCAGCTAATTGGGGGAGAGTAGCGTGCCATAACTTATCAATTTACAAATTCTGAACACATTTCAGGGGAATAATGGAGTTTGATATAATCTTTATTTCACCAGGAAGTGAAACACCTGAGAATTAAACATTTTTAGCACTACTATGGAGTGGCTCATACTGATAGTGGTTTACATGTGAGAGACAGACAGCCTTGTCAGTATTGGGTGGTGGTCTTAATTAAAGGGTCCTCCCGTGTAATGAAGGGAAGACTTCACCTGCTGGGCAGCCTGTATAGGCAGGTTTTCTCTCACGATGTCTCAGGCACCCAGCTTTGTTTTATTCCTACTTTGGTTTGATTGTGTTATAGTCATCTGTAACTGAAGTCACATCCTGATAGCATGTAGTTTTTATTTCCTAGTAAATTTTCTGACAAACTGTTGTTGTGTGGATCTCCCTTCTTTGGCCCTGAATGAGCCCGCCATAACATGAAACTGGAGGAGACACAAGTCCCTTGTTGTTTTAGGAAGATCATACACCATAATAATCTGCTCACACAGATATGCAGAGCCGCTTGGTACCCCTGCTATGCCCCCTATGAATAATGGAGCTCGAGTATCCTAGTAGCACAAAGCAGGACCCTGCCCAGGTCTGGATCAGAACATGCTTGTCTGGTTGCTGCTTAGCAGACTCTGCAGTAAGATTTTTAATCCTGCTTCTTTCATCACACGTGTCCTTCTGGGGAAATTAAGCTAATGTGCAAGTACCGTAAGCTTTGTTTCTGAGGGCCTACAGTGGGTGAGGTGTGAGAAAATGGCCTTACTGCTCAGTAGATCTAAGAACTCAATAAACATTTTCCTGATAAGTTTAAAGTTGCTAGTTTGAATCTATCCATCCATTCTCTTCTGCTAATCCTTATCAGGGTAAAAAAAACAGACAGACAGCTGGTCACACTCACATTCACACCTATGGACAATTTTGAATCATTGGTTGACCTTACCCCACTGATTGTCTCTGGACTGTGTGAGGAATAAAAAACGAGTTTAAAGTTCCCATGCTAATTAAAATGAGGGGAAAGCAGGACGCTCTCTGGGTCAGGCTTGCCCATCTGATTGATGAGTAACAACATAGAGTGTGACATGTTGTTTCTCAGTCATGTTCGGCATCTGGTTTAAAAAAAGTTCAGGGGGTGGAAGCCAGAGTTGAGAATTCACCCCACTACTTGCTTAATTTATGACCTCAGTGAACAGTTTCCTTTTGTGTTCCTGGTTTCAAATGATCGCTGCAGGTCACCGTGGCTACATCTGTCTTTTTTATAGTCTGTGACTTTGTGCATCATTAGCTGAGTGGGCACTGACTAACAGGCTGTCATCGTGTCTGCAGCCTAAAACTTTTAAATGCTTCTGTGTGACAGACGCCTCAGAAACTGGCAAATATGTTAACTCTTCACTACATAGAGAACAGAGGACAGCTACAGCAAACAAGGAAATGAACCCCTGTGTCTGTAATATTTTATTGCCATCAGATGAACTGTCATTGTGGCAGATTAGCTCTTTTTCAACCAAGACTTAAACACTTAAAGTTCAGGTCTACAGTTTTCACTCAGTGTCTCCAGGCAGGTTTTACTCCAGCTGCTGGTGGGATAATAATTCAGTGAGGGTGAAGGAATATTGCAAAAGGGGCAGGATGACAACTATACATGTATGCACGTGTTGCCCCACACAGATAAAGACGTGTGTGCCTAAAATAGCAAGCTGGGCTGTTCCACACATGTAGAGCACTCTGTGAGGAGATCCCAGGGAGGCGAGCGTCACAATTCAGCTTACACAAAGAAAAAAAGAGGCGAGAAGATGAAAGAGACTAGTGAGGGACGCGGCAAGCATGAGAGCATGACATGGCTGAACCACAGGAGGAGGAGGCTGTGATTAATGACATTCAAGCTGTGAAGGTGTCTCAGTGCAGAGCCAGCCTCCCCGTTGTATCCTCAACCTCCTCTCGCAGTCACTTCTCTCCATCTGTTTTGATGCAGCTCATAACAGATCGTCACATTATCCTCCCTCCGTCTGGAAACCGCAGCAGCCTTGGGATTAAACCCAGCACCACACTCCTCTCAGTGCTGCACCTGGGAGGCAGCTGTACACAGCGCGTTACCTGACTGGACATTTGAAACAAACCCTCAGAGCCCATTCTTCGTCTTCTTAGGTGCTCACTGGAAACACTTAGGTTAGGTTTTGATTCAGCAGGAGCCTCTGCTCTGCTGCTTCAGCTCCTCCAGCTGCTGCGAGGAACTTTACGAGGAGCCAAGGTGCTTTTGCTCCTTTGATTTCTCACCTGGATGCTGAGGAGATCAACAGGATGGACCTCACCTACATTTGTCTCCTCTTCACGGCTCTAATGTTGATCCAGCACAGCGAAGGTAAACCCGTTTTTATATCTGTCCAATTAGATGTTTGTTACTAGATGGGTGGGATGTAAGGACTCTGTTTACATGGTATAATTTACATGATCCTCTTAAAAGACAATGCATCACTAAGCAAATTAAGGAATATGTTATTCTTTGAGATCTAAGTATTTCTCCAGACGCTGATTAATTTTTATTCCCCTTTCAGGACTCAGTTTGATTTTATTAGCCAGTGAGTTAATAAACAGGTTTGTGGACTACCATGGCAACTTGTTAATTTTGGAGCCCTGAAATTAATAAAAGGTAGAAAAGAGTTATCAAGCTTACAAAAATAATAAACAAAAGTGGTTAAATAAAAAATAATGACCTTTTTCTGTATCTCTTACATAAATACTGCTCATTTTTAATACCGTCACAGCTTCTGCAAATCAAGTATCAAAAATCGATTAGGAATATTTAAACAGTGTTTGAGATGTCAATAAATTATGAATTTATTCATTTTCATGAAGGAAAAATCCACAGCACTACACGTTATTTTTCATGACATGAAAGCACTGCAACCTCAATATTTTAATGTTCACATTATTCATATTTTAATTGAAAGCAGAAACAACATCAGGACTGTGAGGCTGTATAATGAGATCTGCAGCTAGGCGCTCTGCTCTCTGGTTTCCACAGTCGAGCTCATCGTGACATTTTATTATTCAAAAAGCAATCAGAGGTCACGTAGCGTGTAAGGACTCCCTCTGTTGTCGCTTTCTAGCTCTTGGATGATGAAGTTTTACAGTGTCAGTGTCACGGCACCCTGTGACCTGTATATAATCATACCCTTGCTCTTTCAGCAAATTCCTGTGTTGAAGGTCCTACAAACAGATAGCTGTGGAAGGCCGCCTCACACTTCAAACATGATAGAGGTCAAATTTAAAAAGAATATGTCTAATTCAGGCTAAAAATGTCAAAAGTGCATTTATACTTCTCTCACTCTTCAATGTTGATGAAACTGGAACTAAAAGTAACTTTCCAACGTCACCATCTTCCAACACAGGATTGCTTTGTGTTTTAAAACGGCTGGTCTGGTTATAGTAAAACACCGCCAAATGTGATCTTTTCTGGGACCAAAACACCAATGAGAATAATACTGGAATAAAGTGTAGGTTCAAAATACGAAACCCCAGTGAGCAGCATCACGATGGTTTCACCTTTCTTTGCATATTGTCGACTTGCTTCAGGTCTTTGAAGTTGCCGGGCTTTCATTCATGCACAGCACTCTTAAGGACCCACCACAGCATTAGAGTCAGGTTGCGGTCTGGACTTTGGATCATTGCAGACCTTGGGTCATTGCATTACCTCAGTACTTTTCTTTTTCAGACATTCTGTTGGAGATTTGCTGCTGTGCTTGGGATCACTGTCTGTTTTAGGCCAAGCTTTAGTCCAAACTTTAGGCCTCACACTGACTCTAGAATACATTGCTATGTAGGTAAGTTCACAGTGGATTCAATGACTGCAAAGTGCCTGTTGCTGCAAATCAAGATCAAACTGTCACCCTTCTACCACCATGCTTCACAGTTAGTGCTCTCCAAGCAAAGTACTTTCTTTTACAGAAGAGGCTTTCTCCTGGGAACCCTTATAAATAAGCCATACCTGTTCACTCTTTCTCAGTTCAGAGAGCTGTTCACTTGGAGGTGGCTGTAGCTCAGATCACCCTCTAATTGGAAGGTTAGTGGTTCGATCCCTGTCTGCTCGAGTCTGCATGCCAAATATCTTTGGGTAATAACTAGGGATGGGTATCGTTTAGGTTTTATCCGATACCGGTGCCAAATCGGTACTTTTGAAACGGTGCCGGTGCTCAAACGGTGCTCAAACCGGTGCTTAAAGAATGGAGAACACAAAATTGGTCCAAAAACCTCTCATGTTCAGCTGTTTTTTGTAAAAATATAACAATGTTAGCCTTTTCTGCAGCTATGGGGCATATATGGTATCACTCTTGGATGGAAGCAGTGCTTAAACAATGGAAAAAACACAAACTTTGTCCTAAACCTCTCATGTTTAACTGTTTTCCACTTTTTCTTTGGTCATTTTAGCCTTTTTAGCCAGGGTGAAGGGAGTATCTGCCATCAAACAAGAGGACAGCCGCATGTAGCTATGATGATGTTTGCTAGTTCACCTTACATGCATTAATGTAATAACGTGGTTAGCCTACTCAACGTAAATTAGCTACTCACGCAGAGAAGAACGGCTGCTGCCACCATCATCCGTCATCATTTCTGCTACACTGGCAGGGCTAGGGGCCAGGACTCTCCTCTTCGTGTTTTTGGGGGATGTTGCATAACAGGCAACCCACCCGCAGTAGATGTGCTCGGTGTGAGGTCTCGCAGCAAGCCATCAAATACGGCGCATTTCTCGGCTTTTAAAAAAAACGCTATGCGTCGCCAGGTGTTTCATCGGATTTGAGGTGTTACCTCCTTTGACAATATCACAGTATCAACTTAAAGCACTTGTTGCTGCTGAGTTTGCATATTTTGCTGTGAAGTACAGCCAGACTTTTGACCGCTTCGCCTTGGACATTTTTAATCTGTAGCTCTGCTCTAACAGAACGTACGTACCTGGCCCCGCCTACTATCCTCGGAAACGTAAAATGATTGGCTAGAATCTAAAGTGTATCACAGCTCAGGAAAAAAAAGCACCGAAATAAAGCACCGAAATGTGCGCTGCTTTTCGGTCTGGTTACTACCGTTTATGTCAGAACCGGTACCCATCCCTAGTAATAACCCCAGGTTTCCTGCACTGGAGTTTGAATGATAGATAGGTAGACAGACAGATAGATAGCACGTAGTTAGGGAATACATAGAAGATGTTTTCGTGTGAATGAGGCAAGCCATATAAAGTGCTCTGAGTAGAGGAGTGCTGTATAAGACACCAATATTAAATAAATTCTAACAACAGCTGATCAAGCTTAAATGTGCAGCTGTTGTTTAACGCGACATCCGCTGGTTTCCTCTTTCTGGCGCAAAGTGGGCAATAAACAAACGAGAGAGAAAAGCCGATCAGCTGATCATTGATCAGTTTCATGATCATGTTCATTGAAGTAGAAACAGGAGAGGGAGGGCAAAGAATGAGCGAAGAAGAGGCAGCTGTGCAGCGTAAAGACAGAATAACTCCAGCTTTGTGTCTTTTTCCATCCTAGCCGAAGTCCGGGACAAACTGTGTTCCTTTTCAGCTCAATACAAAACGCGTAATATTTTCTCTGAATACCGGACGATTCCAGTTTTTACAGGACGGTTGGCAACTCTAATAACTAACCTTATGAATAAAATAAAGTTCACTATCAGTAACATCATAGCACCCACCCAGCTGTATAGAAACTCCGTCATGCTAGCTAGTACGCAGTAAGAGTTATTGTAACTGACTGTAAAAAGTCAGCACAACGAAAATAAACTCCACCTAAACTTGGTTTATATCTGACCCAGATAGACTGCAGGTCATTACTTCTTACCTGAAGTTCAGTTCACCTGACACTCGGACCGGCGGCCGCCTCGGGTCTCTCCTCCTCCTGCCTCCCCTTTCTCTCATCCTCCTGCTGTCCTCCACCACTTACTAATGTTACTGAATCTGTGGAAGCTCCGCGATAGCCACCACCAAACAACTGGGTTATTTTTACACACCGGTCAGCATCTGGCCAATCCACCACCTTTCATTGTTTATACCGTTACCAAAAAAAATAAAAAAATCATTGGCCCATAAAAATGAAAAATCACCATAGACGGGTAAGATGGGACGATTTAGTCTGTGAAGCTGAGTTTGAGCCACACAGAAATCCAACCATGAACACAAAACGACCTCTTGTAGCCTCCAGCTAACATACCTGAGGGCTGCTGAGGAAATAAGTCTTACAGCTGTACATGCTAAGGACTGTGCGGTAAAACCCTTTTCATTGAAAATTAATTCTTTTTCAAATGACTGATGAGTCAAGTAAAACTGTGGATTTAATGAAAGCTGGTATAATCTGGTCTTTAGCTGAGTTTGGGTAACAATGCCTGGTTTAGGTGTTCTTCAGACTGTTAGCACATTCAATCCCCAGATATCTTTGTGAAGCAGCTAATAAAATGTTTTCAGAAACCTTGATGGTAAGGCCCTCACAGAAGGAAGAAGTAATTTTAAAAAATACAAAAGGACATTATTTCACATTAGCCCGAGGTATAGTTTGAGCCTGCCAGGAACTTTAAAAATCGAAGCAGGCTGGGATATTTAACTTTTTGAATAGGTCTACCTGCAGAACTGGATTGTGGATCTTTCATTTCTAAAACCAGGGCTGTGTTGTGTTTTCATACTCCTAAATTTCCTGCACAAGTCTAAACCAGGCTTTCTATTATAGAAGAGTCATTTACAAAGAAAGCTTTGTAGGCTTGATAAAGGTGCCTACAAAGTGAATAAAAATTCATTAATTATTTTAATATACAAATATTGAATTGAAACACTGGCAAAAAAATCATGGTTTGTCAAACAGACTCATTTCATGGTGCAGGCGATGAAGGACAAACACATTATCGGGTGTTTTAAAGAGTTATTTGTGATTTGAACTCATTTAAACTTTTGAAACACCAAAGACATAAAGTGGAATAACCAGTCTAGGTAGCAGCAGACCAGTGACCCCTCTGTTCTCAAAGATAACATTCCTGGTTTGGTCTTTAGGTTTGTTGGCTTGAACCACACGCAGTGCTTACAATGGCTTACAGAGCCGATCTTCTCAAAAGAATTTACAAGCATAACAAATTTAAATCATACTTTATGCTCATTCTTGCATGATGAATTTATATTTGTGATAATAAAAATGTTGTCACATGTACAGTACGTGTCAAAGAAGCCTGACACCAAGTCTAATTTAGCATGCCACAGGCCAGCCAGCTGAAGTACAGCTGGGCACATTTATGTGTAATCCTGGTAAGAACAGGATTTGGTGCAGCATTACAGTATGACCCTCTTGGTGTTGCTGAATGAAAACCCACATCCTCAGGTAG